TAATCTTTTCTGCTAAATCTCACTTGATGTCTCTCTAAGAACTCTTGAGATTTTTTTTTTAATCATTTAACATAGGGTCAATCGGTGCCTACAAAGAATTGCTTAAATTTCAATTCGATATCATTGGCACCACGGCATCTGATCTTTATGTTTCCTTTCTTTTTTCTTTTTTTGTGGACGCAAGAATTCTAGAAGTTAAGACAGCAATATATGCACAAATGTATGTATAGTAACAAAATAAGTTCAAATTATAGAAAAGACAAACACGGTTTATAAACTATAAAAGCACACAGGACCATAAATTCAGCAAGTTCTGGTACAGGATTGGAAGCAAAGAGTAAACATAAAGAAAGAAAAGCAAATGCTTATAGTCTGTAAACCCCATGATGAACTGCTTAATTATAAGGAATTTGAATATATGCAGCATCACAGACAAAGGGAATATCAGCATACATCCCTGCAAGAGCGCACCTCATACACTCCAAAACTGTGAACAAATAGGCAAATGCGACTGCAGTCCAAAAATGCATCCCGACCTTACCCCAGTATACAGCGAGTGGCATCCAACGGCTCACAGTCCCAATAACCTGCAAAGCTATCTCCAATAGCATGCCCATAACTACATGGAATCTAAAGAAATGAGGCCATTCTTTTCTCCTCACTATTCCAAGGTAAGCCACAAAGAAATAAGCCATCAGAAACCAGCTAGGCAATCTCCCTATAGTTCCCAAAAAGGGATAGGTTAGTAGCTCAAAATCTTCCAAGAAAGGGTGCAGATGATATGCTGTTTCAGCATACATCCATGTCTCGTGCAGAGGCATCAAATAAGGGAGGCATGCCAAAGATCTCCACCACCATTTCGGCTTCTTAGTCATAGCAGGGTATCTATAACTATAAGGGACATCCTGGGATGCTCTGGCAGGTGAAAGAAACTTGTGCCTACGGGGCAACTTGGGTATGGTACGTAACAAGCTACCTTGTTCCCCATTCAAGACTGGCGATGATGCAGCGGAAAGAGAGTAAGGCTGGATATCTGCTCTGACAATACAAAAATGAAAATTAGAGGATCCTAGAAAAATGTAAACAGGAATTTGGCCTCTGAAAAATGGACCATTTTTATGTGAGCATTCATAACCCACAATATCCACTAAAAAGATGCAGAAGGGATTCACCATATTCAAAAGGGACTTGAGTATATTACAATCTAAGATTAAGAGGTGTTGAAACTTAGTAACTTATTGTGACTAGACATAGTATGCAGTTGAGAGCAAAAAGCAACACCTCAGCATTCAGAATGAATGAAAGTGAGGTCAACTGAATCCTAACGAAGTTGGAGTCCCTTTCAAGAAAAAGTAGAATGGCATGCAAAGTTGTTTGAATGACACGATAAACAAATGTCTTTTCCAATCAAATCCAGTTTAGAGGGGCACAACTATGTAGTGTTCAAGAATTTAGCCGGTTAAAACGATATGCTCTCCGAGCAAATGCAACACATTTAGGATTTGACAATTTGTGTTAAATAGCCAAAAAATTTGCTGATATTCTTGGAAGATGTGAGGTCAATACAGTTAGAAGTTCAAACACCATTCAAGGTATATAGGAAACTTAGAAGCATTAGGTATACATCAAATGACCAACTGTGCTTATGGAGGAACTATACCAGTCAATAGTTACACGAACCAATTATATTATGCAAACAGAAAGATTATAAGGCAAATCTGGAACCATTTAAGTTTTATACGGTGCAAATACTCGTTATTTCATAGGGTTGTTATTTGTCTGAAAGGGTATAAAAACATACCTAATGATGTTTGGCATTTCAGATTTGGGAGTGGAACCAATGAACTTCTACTGCATGAGATTACAGCCTTAGCCTGCAAGTGCAATGTGCATGATGATGCCAAGTTTTGAGACCTAGAGCCACATTCTCTGTATTTGTAGGACACGTGAATGCCCCGAGAAGTCAGAGAGCATCCACTTAGAATCATACTCCAGCACCGAGTTCAACTTCCACCTTAGAATATAAAGGAACAAGAATATTCAAATAATAAAAAGAAACCAAAAAATTAGGCCTATGCAAGACAAATAAAAACTCAATGTTGCCAACAATGCATCAGATAAAGAGGACTGACGTATTACATGCATACATGCATATGAGTGTGAGTGAGTGATTCATACATATATATTGTATCTACAGTAATAAGATTTACGTTTCTAGCTTTCTATGACACAACTTTCACATGTCATGCTACTGGCACAATGAAAACCAGCCTGAAAACTTTTAGATTGATGAAATGAAAGAAATACTCGTACCAATCCTATTTTAAATCCTTTTATGCACAAGTTGGATGATAGCAAACACACTGCACGGTGCAAATGGTATTTCTTCAATGCATATGATCATAAAGAATCCAACTTCAGGTGTGCATACTTTTAGAAAACCTTTTTTTTTTTTTTTCGAGTTTTTATGAATTTTGTGGGCGAGGGAGCAAGGTTACCATTTATGCTCACAAATGCAACAATTAATTACAACACCTTTTAATTCCGACCCTGCTAGCTTTGAACAGTATTTTCTATGTCTGTACCTCTAAAAATTCCCAGAGATATCAATTTGGTTTTAAGGTTAATATTTTTAACATAAAAATCAAAGAAATTCTTCATAACTCGAAACTCAGTATGATATTACCCAACGCATTTCTTTTATCTTAGGTTTTTCTAAACGAATAACGAAATAATTGTTTTGCACCATTTCCAGTTCTTGCACAGGCCCAAAGTTTTATCATGGTTCTAGTATCAATTCCATTAAAATCAAACGACAGAAACAGAAATGATATTATTATTACCATATATTTCGAAGTAAATAGAAAACTAGACAGCATAAATTATGGAAAGACCACAAAATTAAGGAGGAAATGAAACATAGGGGAAGAGCTTCGAATACCAAAAGAGAGGTAGGAACCTGGATTTTCGAGCCTCTGTTGGTTATGCGGTGAATTTCTTCTTCTCGGCGGCAAATCAATACAGAGAGAAGCAACGAGAGTGAGACTGGGAACGGCGAAGATAGGGAAGGACCGTGGATATAATAATTTTGTTGAACTACCTGAGGGGTAGTCGCGTGGAGGGCATAAGTGGTCATTTTGCTGAAATAATAAGGTTTTGGTAGTCATTTTTTTCAAAATATATTTTTCTCTTTCTTATTTTTAACCACACATTCTTAATTAAAATAATATTACACGTAAATCAAAAACTTTTCATCATTTTTCAACTACACATTTCCCATCAATTTACTATTCCAAAATGTAGTTTTACATAAAAATGGCTCCTAAACACTCTCTAAAATAATTACCTATTAACCATCCAAACATGACCTACTTGTTTGTATACCAGAGAGTTAATTTAATCAATGGTCATTAAACTTTGTTATAGATCACTACTTATTCACCAAAATTTAGAAGGTTACTTTTTGCTCACTGAACTTTGTTATAAGTTATTACTTGCTCATTAAAATTTAAAAAAGTTACTTATTGCTTGCCCAAATTTGAATAAAGTTAATCATCAATGACCTATATGATTTCCATGAGTTTTACTTATTGCAAAGTTTGGTGAGCAACGAGAAATTTTATTCAAATTTAGATGAACAATGAGTAATCTTTTAAATTTCAATGAGTAAATAGTAACATATAACAAAGTTAAGTGAGTAACGAGTAACTTTTCAAAAATCAGTATGCAAGTAGTAATCTATAGTAAAGTTGAGTGACCATTCATTAAATTATCTCTATTCCAGAAGTGTACTCTTGTAGATCTTGTAAACCTGTACAAATGACAAATTATACTTATTAGACTCGATTTGAACATTGACCCAACCAATGCACTGAATCCAATGCATAAACGACTGGAAGTTCACGTTCTCATTATTTTTGGTAAAATCAAATCCACTATGAATGTATTTGAGTGCATAAATGTGTAAAATATCAAGGTGCAAAGCAAAAGCGATTCCTAACACAGTTGTTAGAAAAATAGTCATTCTCTGTCTCTATTCTATGTTTGCTAGTTCAAGAATCAGCTATGAATGCTATCGACGCCAAGGAATAAGTGATTGAATCGGTGAGTCAATACTTAGAAATACAAAAAGTCAACGCTGAAAAATAAAGTAAATTACTTAAATAGTTTATTTTTGCTTAAAGAAAAAGTAAGTATCCTAAAGATGGTTAGAAACAAAAAGTCGAGAAATATATATATATATATATATATATATATATAAAGCTTGGCCAAACATGATCCTTTCTTTAACAGGCTCATTGGTCAGAATAATCATCTCTCGACAGCAGTGTTCTAAAAAGCGGTATCAATACGTGCCTAGGCGTTATGCTTGGCCAAAACGCCAAGTCAAACCACTTGACTTGGCGCCTTATTTGGCAGTCAACAACAGTCGTTGACCGTTACGGTACGCCTAGGCGCAATTATGCGCGCATTATCATCCCTTTTTTAATTTAATTTAATTTAATTTTTTTTTTAATTTTTTTGTTGTTAAAACATTATCAACTTTTTTCATTTTGCCCTAATTTAAAACAACCACTTGTATCAAAAGACTCAGAGGACAAATTAGATGAAGAAAATGATATTGAATTGAAATCCAATAAAGAGTTAGATAAAATTTAAATTCCTATACTATTTATTTACTATTTTACATTTAAACTTAAAACTTATCTTTTTATTGGAAACTTCTGTTTTAAATGTTTACTAAAAGATAAGTTTTAAATGTTTACTAAGTATTATTTTTAAGTATTAAATAATTTTTTGATTCATTAAAAAATAAAATAATATTAAAATAAGAATATATATCTTTTTACGTTTTTTTACGCTTAAGCCTTGCTTAATCTCACATAGCTCATAGATTGGTCTCCACGTATCGCCACGCATTACACAACATTGCTCAACAGTCCCAACACTTCATGACTTCCAGCTGCAATTGCACCACAAGAAGAAAAATAAGTCATCTAGCACAGCACTGTCCAATAATACAAAAAAGCTAATAAGAACTCTCCAGTGTAACCATAGGCGATAGGTATTAAGTACAGATTGGTACATACATCACGATTCATATAAGCAAATTTATAACAAGCCATACATTAACCACTGCCAGCTTGTGTACTCCTATAACAGTATCATGCTTCAATTTCGTCTCGACAGAAGGATACAAGACAGCAGAATACAATTCCATTCTGAACCAAAACATGATTGACATACCGAACCATGACCAAACTCGAATCATACTTCTAGCAAGATGTTACACAGAGTCCTTCTAAAAAAGGTCTTCCAGCAGCCATAATCCAAGAAAATGTTCCCTCGTTTTTCCTTTTTTGCAGATTCCGGTCCTACTAAAAAATCTCAATCACATTGCATAAATGACCTCTCCGCTGCTGTCAATATCAAAATCAGGATCGGAATCCAGGTCTTCCATGTCATCGTCTATAATGCCCAGATCATAAAAACCAGCGGGAGGTATAGTTGCCTCTGAGATTATCTGCATGATGACTTCCAGATTTTGCATGGGCTGTTCGGGCTCTTCAAACTGGTTTCCCATCGTCCTTTCATCCATTAGATCCGCCGGAAGGTTCTTCAGGAACCACAAGTGGTTACTAATCTCTGGGATGGTGATGCGCTAGAAAGAAATTTGTCATAACAGCATGAGAGTTGGACAGTGACCAAAATTTATAATGCAAATGCTCAATCAACATGAAGAACCACAAGGCAGCCATTTGTAAAAATTAACTTGACTATGAAAATGAAATGTTATACTTCAATTTCGCAACAAAGATACATGTATATTTCTCGAAGGTGGAAGAGCTTACTTGTGCAGGGTCTGCAACAAAGATCCGTGAAATTAGCTGCCGACATTCCTCAGAAATATTAACATACTCTGGAATGGAATACTGAACATTTAAGATTCTATGAATCGTCTTTCGGAAGTCCTTAGGTTCTTCAGGATCCTCAAATGGATAGGCACCTACGAGCATCACGTATAAAGTGACCCCGCAGGACCATACATCTGCAATCTGAAGCAGTCGCATGATGTTAGATCAACAGCCAGCAATCTAAAAAATCTATATATATAAGAAAGCAATCTAGTATATTTGGGGGATGGGGTTATTTTCAAAGAAAAAACGATTAGCTACCAAGTTACTACTTGCATTTGTCCCCTCAAGGATTAGTTTCTTGTTGTCTCAGGGATTTGGTAAGAAAGTATACATTGTCAGCCGTTCAAAACTCAACTTGAATGCAATTGATTTGTCCAGCTCCATTCTGGTAAAAGTTAAATCAAATGTGGAAAGAGATCAAAGACAAATTACTCTCTCTCAACCTTTTTTATATCGCTTATTCCTAAAAAGATAAGGCCTCCTGGTTTTAAACTGAATTCTTTTAGCAGCTTGCCGAGGCCTTCCTAGCATGTGCGTCACCCAAGGCATAAGGGACATGATGACGTGGCGTCATCATCACCTTCCTCCGGCTTTTCCAAGTGAAATCCTCTAGCATATGAAGGAGTGAAAAAGTGCTTTTTTGTCGTGAAATTTCTTCTAAAATGACCAGGTTCAAGGGTTTTAAAGAAGATGTTCGGACCATCAATGAACTAATTGGATTAACCAACCAAAGTTAACTTCTGTTATTATGTATTTGGTGTGGGCGTTGGAGCATTAAGAGGACCTTTCCCTAGTACGAGAGGACCGGGAAGGATACACCTCTGGTGTACCAAAGATACTGATATCTTGGCAGTATTCCGAGTCACTCCTCAACTTGGAGTTCCGTCTGATTAGTTAGTTGGTGAGGCAATAGCTTACCAAGGCAATAATCAGCAGCTGGTCAAGTGTGTTCTGGCATGGTTTGTTTTTAGATAACTCGCTCTATTTATTAAATTATTGAAATTAAATATTAGGTTCTCTATCAGTTTCATTAACAGTCACTCCAGTCCATTCTAAATTATACACTAACTTTCTACTTCTAGTTTTATTTAATTTATGTTTTCTGTCGAATGGCTTTTACATCTTCTCAAATTGTTAACTAATTTTATGTAGGTCTAATTATGCCAAATAGTCGGAGATGAACTAAAAACATAATGGTATTCAGGATCAATCATCTAGAACCTACAGTAGTTTATAACTTAAAGTAGAGAGAGAGAGAGACTACAAATTTGTGAGATTTCTTGTACAGTACTATTGACTCTAGCATTAAACATGTCACTGGAGTGTTGACTAAAATTGACATCAAAAGAGAAGTGATTTAATGCAAGTGCAACACCTAAATCTTAAAGTACGAGTTGAGTGCCAATGAACCAACCTCTTCAAAATTAGCTTACAGTTCTACAATCTGACAACCAATTTAGCCACTGTCTGGTGGCCTTTAATTTGAAAAAATTATATTCTGAATAATATTTTTTGGAGAATGTGTGGTTCAAAAAAAAAAAAGTAGGGAAAATTTTGAATTTACATGTACGATATATTATTGTGTGAATATGTGGTCGAAAATGAGTATGAAAATAAATTTTAAGTAAAGTAATTTAAATTAAAGGCCATCAAACAAGGGCATAAATTGAGAACTACAGATTTCGTAATGCTGCTAGCATGATTTTGTACCTACCGTTTTTAGTTCGTAGTTTGTACTCTTAAATTGTTCCCGTATGAATGAGAACAGATTTTCCATGGAAAGTGAAGTCGGTAAAACATGTTCTTTTTTTCATTCCCACATTGTTTTATTATGGGATATACTCGCAGCGAACAAATGTACAACGCCCTCAAAACATCTTTTTTTCTTTCCCACATTGTTTTATTATGTAATAGTGTAATACACTAGCTGCAAACAAATGTACAAGGCCCTCAAAATTAAGCACCACTAATACCAAGGGATGGAAGAAACTTAAAAACAACATTAGCCGGGCATTATAGATTTTAAAACTTCACCTTCACCCAGAACAACTCGGGATTATCAATTTAGAAAATTGTAAGACAAGTTGGGTCTTCATAATGAAATAAAACAGGTGATCCAAGCAGAAGATTACCTCACACCTCACAGATCTTATAGGAGTTCATAGAGAATTTTTTTTTTTTTTCAATGCAATTGAGAATATGAATATAAATATCATATAAGAACTAATAGAAAAATTCTTGTGAGAGTAATCATTTTATTCTCCATATATCATATAAGGATAATTGCAATCACCGTCCCAAAACTTTCAAATCTTTGCAGGTTTTACCATTAACCTTTCATTTGTTGCACCTGTGTCCCAAACTTTTCAATTGCGTGCAGTTGGATGACAAATGGGTGGAAACCATCTATATGTCCGTTAGTTGACCAAAAAAATAACTTTAACAACATTTTTAACAATCTCAAGAAGGAAAAATAGTAACTTCATATTTTTTAATATAAAATAATTAAAATAACTAAATAAAAAACCCAAAAAATACAAAAGTAAAAGAAAAAGAACACAGACGTCTTCTTCCCCACCCCCAAACTAAAACCACACACAGTCAACATCCCCTACTGAAACTATTTTTTTTCATTTTTTGCACTAAACTCTTTCAGCACAATCATTGTTGCACTGTTATTCATTTCCAGATCTAGGAATATCATGTTTGGTTCGCATTTCTGTTTCTGTTGATAAAAGCAAGTTTAAAGAAGCATTTCTGTTTCTGCACAACTATTGCTGCACACTTTTTTTTTTCCCTTTTTTCTTCTTATTATTCTTCCCCCCCCCCCCCCCCCCGCACAAGCAAGCTTTAAGATGCTTTCTGGACCAAGATTTTAAGGGTAGCTTTAAAATCTGATGCTTTGGAATCAATGGGGTGGAAAATTTCGACAATATCCTCTTGCTCTTCGATCTCGCCCAGAAGTGGTTGGGGACTAAGGAAAATAAAAATTTGGTCCAAATCTTCTCATACTTTTGATCAGGAGTTGGCCGTAAGTTGCAGAATGGGAGGCAGATTCATTTATGGAGAGATCGATTGAAATTTTTTGTCTGTGAGTTATGAATATGGGTTATGGAGAAACAAATTTATGCAGTTGATTTATGTATATGAGTTATGTATATGCTTGAATCTACTGTGAATGAATACCATGGGGATTCCATGGAAGAATCTGCTTCAAGTGTGGATTTACATGGCAGCGATTGGTGGGTTGTGGTGGTAGGCAACGGCAGCGTAAGGGATTGTTATGTTTTGGCTTGTTTGGGGACGTCTGTTTCTTGATTTCTTTTGTTTATTGTTAAAAATGTGGTCATAGTTATTTTTTTGGTAAACTAATAGACTTCAGCAGTATGCACTTGAATGGTTTGGGACCACGGGTGCAACGAATGAAAGGTTAAGGTAAAATCCGTAGTGTTTTGAAAGGTTTGGGACTGTGGCTGCAATTATCCCTATCAAATGTGCCTCCATCCCAACCCCAGATGTTGAATAAAGAAACTTCCAAACAAATGTCAAGAAATAGGTAAAGTGTTCAGTATAATGTCATACCAAAAGTACGCAATACGATATCCAAATATTTCATTAGATTATATCTGAAATCCACATCCAGATGTTCTTAGCATATTTTTTGTGTTTCTCCTATGCATGAATATAAATTACCGCAACCATTTTCATGATGTATAGTGTGAAATTGTCAAAAACAGAGCGAATAGTTTTACCTTGCCATCATATTCTTTCCTAAGTAACACCTCAGGAGCAATATATGCAGGAGTTCCAACAGTAGATTTTGGTTGTGAATGCAGCAATGAAGACTGAAAACAACAAGGTATTCTCAGGATTGAAAAGGACAAGGCAGATAACTAGGAGATACTAAAGCAAATAAACATTATAGAACAGCAGGGTTTTCTGTATTATCTGAAAGCTGATCAAAATCCAATCATAACAATCCATAAGCAATACCTTAGAATACCCAAAATCACAGATTTTGAGTCTTGGAGCAGGGCTTCCATCCAACAGCGTGTTTTCCAGCTTCAAGTCCCTATGACATATTTGCTTCATCATGAAACGTAAGATTGATCCTTCAGCTTATTTCCAATCAATACAAGCAGAAAATAATCATAAATAATACATGACTTTTCCACTAGAACATTAGAATACCATCGAGTGACAGTAGCTGACTCCAGATATAAGTTGCTGAAAAAAAAAGCGAGCCTGCCCCAGAAACAGCAGTAAATATCATCAGTCACAATTGTGCTGCATGGAATAACAGAATAGTAGCAATTTAATTATAACAACCTCATCCTCATTGAAGCGTCCCGCATTGCATTTGCATATTCGCTCAAAAAGCTCTCCTCCAGATGCATACTCCATGACAATGGCCAAATGAGTTGGTGTTAGAATGACCTGATGTTGGATGTTGAAAATGTGACCATTAAGAAAATAAAATGTCTCAGGACCATATAAATAAGGCAAAGGGATAATCAGCAGCAAACCTCTTTAAATCTAACAATATTAGGGTGCCTCAAAGAACGGTGATTGATAATTTCTCTTTGAACATTTTCATCTATCTGCAATGAACATTACCAGGGTCAGTGATTGTTAAGTACAAAAAGATAATAGAGAAATATAAAGGAGTTCAAATATAGAAGATATCTCATGAAGCCAACACCAGCCCTGCAGGACAAAAAGAAATACTTCGTGGAATATCAAAGCATAACTTTTGGGCATTTCTTGGGGGGAACAATGGAGAAATACAAAAGGTTGTCAGGCATAGTGTAGCTATTTATCAGAAGGAAACTGCTGGTCAGCCACAAAGTGATCAACCATCGCTATACAAAAATGAATGCTCAAATGATTATAACAATTTAGTCTTACCAAATTCTTGCCATTCTCTCTGTTTAAAATAAAAAGGAGAATAAATATATGTAACGGAACCAAAATTACATTTTGACTATTTATGGGTTATAGGCATTCTTGTGATTATTAAGTTTTCACTGCTTTACTAACTCCATTTATTATCATACGTGGTGGAGCAAACTTTGATCTCAACTATATCAACAGCACCCTGTCAAAGTCAAAGCAAGACTTGCTAAGGAACAAAATAAAGCTAAAAGCATCCTGCTACAATAAATAAATATCATTCCTACACAGAACACCGAATAAACAATGAAGTTATTTTAACCCAACAACGTCCAGACCACGTTTTGCATTGGAAAATCAGGCTTCATCAAAATCAACTCCAATGGTAATAAAAATGAAATTTTCTTTAGATTTCAGTTCCTAGACCAAAACATTACATGACATGCTCAGAATCAGAAAGTTGTGGTATTGTAATTGTATATATTAAAAAGTCGAGCTAGAGTATACACAGCACGTAGCATCTGAGAGAAAACCCAAGCCATTTTTGGCAGCTACTTATTAGACAGTCTACATAAATTCCATTCTATGTTTATTTTTATTGATAAACATAATAATCACAAGAAAAGAGTGCTAAATTTGGCCCAATTCAGATGGTGCTATTAACTTAAGACTATGGCCTAGCTCCCGTGGATAGAGCAAAGCCTTACCAGGCAAATGACCTGGGTTTGAGCCCCCTTTTGGGGGAAGGCCGAAATCCTGTCATCCCTTTTTAAAAGATTATAAAGATGGAGGTCGAGTTTTATCCTTCAACTCTCATGAGCTCAAGAAGCCCTGTTCATTCCTTCTCTTCATGTGCAAGATATTTTCGTGAACTAATATAGTAGATGCCGACAATGCAATAGAACTTTCCACAAGAAAGCAATACTAAGCTACATGAATGAAATTTCTAACCCACTCCATTGGGCATTATGAAGTAGCATGTGGTATCTCGATTTTTATTGTACAATGTACTAGTTACTGAAATCTTCATTTATAACAAAAATACTTGGTTCACGATTTACAATATATATATGCATAAAAGAATTATAAAAATCTTATGTAACATTCAACTTTGGCCACAAAATTCTAGAAGTGCAATCATCGGGAAATTGGTTCTACAAAGAACTACTTTAGGGAAGGCAATAATATGTACCAGTGAATTATTATATACTGGCTACTTATCTTGCTAAGACCTGAGAGGAAGAAAACGATGACTGCTCAAAAAAGGCACGACAGCATAGGATATTGCTAGTAATAATTTTATTAATCTGTGCATAGAATATTGCTAGTTGTAATTTTATTTATCTGTTCACTTTCTTTTTTCAGCTAACAAGTGTGAAGACAATGTCTATCCTATTTTAGAAATCATTTAAGAGAAATATTTCCTAGAAAAAATTATAACTCCAAAATAGAAAATGAAAATATAAAATCTCAGGAATTGTAAATGTTCCCAAAAATAAGATTTTCCATGTATGTGCCACTAAAAATAACTGCAAAATTAGAGTTATTTCAACATTACTACTGGAAAACAATTTCCAATGGTAGAGAAAACGAAGTACAGCGAACATGAGTTGCTATTGAAAAATACTAATCTCACCCGATCGCCTCGCTCAATATACTTAGCAGCAACCAGCTCATTGACCTGTTTATCCTTCAAGAGCCAGACCATCCCGAAATTACCTCCTCCAATATCCTTAATAAACTCATATCGATCACTGTTGTGCACAATTGGCACACTACCTGGGCCCCTTTTTATTGACAGCCAATCCATTTATCTGATTAACTAATATTACAATCCACTACCAATCTAACTAGGTTCACTAATAACTGAAACGCATCAGATGAAATCGGAAGGAGATTTACAGAGATAAGGTGGTTTTACCCATGGTCATTTTCTTTTAACGGGAGGCAACCTATCGGAAGAGTGGATGGGAGTAGCAGTTGTATTTTCACTTTTCTTGAGAGCAAGGGATGCTTGACGATCGATGGGATTGATGTGTGTTCTGCTGTATTCTACTGTAAAGCGACTGGAGACGAAAATGAAGGTGATGCTGACATCAAGGTGTCGTTCTGCAGTAGCTGAACAGCGTTATGTAACAATGTTTTCATCTCAAGAAGACCTTTTCTTTTTTTTTTCTTTTTTTTTTCTTTGGTCTTAAACATTTACGCTTCTTTCCCCTGTTTTCTTCTATAGTTTTTGTTACCTTCGAAGGGTCAAATGACGAAAGTATCCCTTGTTTAAAATAGGGAAAATTGCAGCCGAGGTACCAAACCTTTCGTTTATTAGCAGACTTTACCCAAACCTTTAGTTTGTGCCAACCACAGTCCCAAACCTTTCAAAGATATGAACATGGGATCCAAATGGACGGTTTCCATCTGTTTGACCGTTAGTTGACCAATAAAATTGAATTTTGACCAATTTTTGACCAACTTAAAAGGGTATAAAGGTAAATTTGACCACCTTAAAAAAAATCATCTTCTTCCTCATCTCCCCCCCAACCCCCACCCAACCTAAACTAACCTACAGAAGATGGAACCCCACCCC